TCTAAGGAAAAGGGTATTTCTCTTAACAGGATGGAACACGTCCACATTACCTAATACAAGTGAGAGAATACCTAGACAAACAATTCTCTAATCACTGGAAAGGTCTTCGCGGCCCTCATTCTTGGCCCCCTAGGTCCCCAATCTCACGAACGATTGGTCTATCAGACTGAAGTCAACACCCAGACGAAATCGAAGAAATATTCGTCTGGTACAAATTGGAAAGCTACAATTGTAGTGTTTCTCCTGATCTTTCTGATTCAGATGAAAGTTTTTGAAGAATACGATTCAGTAAATCAAAATTTCGACATTCGAATAGAAATTTACTTTTCCAAGTCTGGCTCTGGAATTTTTTCCATAGTAAGCCATCGTGTGATGTATCAATAGAGGTAAATTGCTGGTGAATTTCAGGCGAAAACATCAAGACGTTCCGGAAATATCGTTAATCAAAATTTCGCCCCCCAAATTCAAAAAATGCCCTGTATCTTTGTTACGAAAAGGCAGACTATATTTTTTCACATATGGTATATCAACTCACCTTGAATTCCTCTTTCCGCCATTGGGCCATGGCTGGTTAATCATCACACTTGATTACTTTTGTTGTGGTATAGTTTCGAAAAATGAGCCAATAACACCGTCTCCGAGAAGGGACTACAGGTCCTTTTATCTTCCATTCCACTTGCGATTACATAAATTACTGAACAACCACTTAATTTTCCTTTTTTTTTTTCGCAAATTTTGCTCTCGTTCGGCTTCGCTGGACGCTCCGCCTCGCGAATGCAAAATTCGTTTGTCAAACAAAGTGTCACTTTTGATCCCAATAAAACAATCTACTATTTCCTCCCTTTTATTACATTATTACATTTTCATAGTTCAGAGAGCCACCGTGGAAATGGTATCGCTAGACGCTTGTTTTGTGGCGCGCGAATATTACAAGAGAGCCCTGCAATGTGGGACCATTTGGAAACTGACTAAGAACGAAACCACTTTCTGTTTCTAGTTCTGTAATGATACTTTGACTTGTGTACACTGGCCCTTTGAGCAAAAAATTAGTGATGGAAAACTATATATCGATAGCACAATCGATAGTTTTTGAATATTCAATATACAATATTCAATATTGATTCAAAATGATCCAATTTTTTGATGTTTTTTATAGAAACAAAATGTGATAATCGAATCAACAAGAAAACTGACAGAAATATTGAAATTATGAGAGTCAATTGAAATAAAACAGCAGAATTGATATATCTCAATCCTGAGAAAAAAAACTAATCATTCCACTAGAGATCCACTTCAGGACCGCGCATGCCTGAAGTAGTCAAAATCAATGTCTATTTTGCTATTTATTTTTTTCTTCAATATTTCAAATATTTTTGTTCCTGATGTTTCGTACCTAAATCGTTCATATAGACTCCATTGATATGGTTCTTTGTTATTTATGATGTGTTTATATTCACCAGGACCCAGGCAACCAGATGACGTTCCAGTGACGTCTTTTTCACGTCACTTGAATGACCAAGGTGACGTCAGTAGTTGACGTCGCTGACGTGATAATGACGTGAATAAGTCACAGCCCAATGACGTCATATTACTCACGTCGTATTGACGTAATTCACTCACCAAAGTGTGACGTCCGACTGACGTCATGATGACAACAAAATGACGATTAAATTTGGCGATGATAAGTGAAAAAGATTCCTTTAACATGGTGTGATAAACACCACTGGCCTCTGATGACATTATATAATATTGATTATGCATTGTTGAGTCTGCTTCAGAACGCATCTCTATCAGGATGCAATCCGTACTCGTATTTGTATAAAAAATTATGTAGTTTGTGTCGGCGAGATGTGAGCTAACAAAGAATAGTTTGATAGCAATCAAAAGGATGTTGGCGAATTTGGCTTCACTTTGTTGAGGAATGTATATTGATGCATTCTTTGTCACCCAACAAAAATCTTAATAGCAAATTATTGAAAAAAATTCTGAATGACGAAGCTTATCAAATTGGTACGTCACACTGACGTGATTTTTATACGTCATAGATACGTCACTGCAACGTCATAAGAGTAAAGGATTCAATATAGGCATACCTTACCAATCATTTGTATATATACATAGCTTGTTGGTTTCCGAGATATACAGTGTGTCAAAGTTTTCTAGAAAAATGTTTTCCCCTACTTTTCGGGTAATATCAATAATTCCAATGGAACTTGCATGTTGATTCGCTTTCATGAGTTATAATTCTGTGTCACATGATAATATATAGGTATCCATGGTTTAGAGTAGGTCAGGGAAAAATGGACGTCGACAAGACGTCCCTGCAACGGCGTGAAACTGACGTCTCCTTTTACCCATCTAAGTGATGTTCACTCGACGTCGAAACGATGACGTGATTATGACGTCATACGAAGTACGTCATAGTGACGTCATAAATTGGTGTGTGACGTCTCTGACAAGAAATCACCAATTAGGGACGTCACAGTGACGTGATCATTCGTCATCTGGTTTTCTGGGGATTGATCTAACTGGAGAAAAATAAATCAAAAAGAAATAGGACAAGAGTATATTTTTCGAACGAAATTCCATATCGATAGTAGGTACTATCGATAGTATCAATAGTTTTTGACAATACTGCTGGTCTTAGTTCTACGTTAACTCTTAACTCGCACACATCATGTGACTGGCTTGAAAGAGTTGGTGGACGAGTATGCGCAGTACATATATCATTCTGGGCCAGCCTTGGATAATGTAATATATTCATCCATGTAGCAAGTAGGATTTACAATCCCGGAGTAATAATAAAATCCTTGGTTTCCGGGATCAAATTGATACGCACCCGGGATCCCGGGATTTCGGAATGGAAATTAGAATTTGAAAATGATATGGTGTATACTGAAAATACTCGTATATGAACAAAAAATGTAATCTATACATCAAAAATTGAGGGAAAAAACAGGCCGAACATTTATTACTTACAATGTTGACTGAACCAGGAGCGTACGAAAATGTATTATCTGCGAGTCGAGTGCTGATTTTTCTGCAAATGGTACCAGCTGCGGAAAGTACTCTTTCATATTCTGAACTAGTTGGTGGTATAGTTGTTAGGAAATCATGATATGCCAGCTGAAGATATATGTACCTCTGTTGTCATCATTTTCGAAATGAGTAATTTTGTTTGTTAATTTTGATGATATATTATTGTGTGTTATCTAGACCATTAGGAATTATATATAACTTGATTCTGAAAACATGTAATTTTCCTACCCTTCGGAAGTTATCACGTGTGTGCCCAGTATTCAAATCAGGAAAGATTTCGGATATTGAGAACTATAGACCGATTGCACTAATCTCTGTATTCTCCAAATTACTAGAAATAATCATATTTGACTCAATTTACAATCACGTTCGAACTTCTCTATTTGAATTTCAACTTGGTTTTGTGAAATCGCGTAGCACAGCAAAAAATTGATGTACTTTCACCCAATATGTGTCTAATGCTCTTAACTGCAAAAATCAAGTTGATGTAATTTATACAGATTTTAGCAAAGCATTCGACCGTGTATCACATCAACAATTATTTCGAGAATTGTCTAGCTTCGACATATCCTATGACATTGAGTTACTACTAAAATCTTTCTTATCAAATAGGAAGTTATTCGTAATATAATGGTGTCAAATCATTCACATTCAAGGCAACTTCAGGAGTACCACAGGGCTCCAATTTATGACCTTTACTGTTCTTACTTTTTATCAATGATATATGTGATCGTATCCAGTCTGCTAAACTACTATTTGCTGATGACATGAAAATCTACAGAGAAATCAAAACTATTGATGACTGTCAACTATTACAACTGGATCTTGATCTAATCAATGATTGGTGCCTCGAAAATAAACTCTCTTTGAATACCAATGAACGTACATGACTTTCACACGAAAATCTTCCCCAATTTCATTCGATTATCACTTGGATACTTCACAACTAGCACGAGTTCAACAATTCAAAGATTTGGGAGTTCTTTTTGACCAGAAGTTGACATTCTCCACTCATATAGAAAGTGTAATAGGCAAAGCTATGAAGTCCTTGGGATTTTTGATTCGTACCTGTAAGGAGTTCAAATCATTTGGTGCTTTGCGCAGTGTCTACTTCTCATTGGTGAGGAGTAAATTAGATTACTGCAGTGTCGTATGCAATCCATGTCATTCCAAATATATCGAAGCCATTGAATCAGTGCAAAGAACGTTTTTAAAATATGCATACAATAATCATATCGATTCATCCTCATTACTTTCTCTGATTGATTTCAATGTACCACGATCTGTGTCAAGATCAGATATAACGTTCCGCATTGCTGTGCCCAACACACAACATCACTTTCATTGTCCCCTTACAAAAATGTGCCGAAGTTACAACAATTTACAAAGTATTGATATATTTTTTCTCTCGCTGTCTCAATTCGAGCATAGACTATTTAGTGCCTTGAGGAACTAGTTTCACATATCTTAGTTTATATTCTTTTCAAGTTATGTATAGATATAGGTATATATTTTTAGCGATCCAAATAATAACCATGTATTATAACATACACCTGTAAATGGGCGTAAGCCTGATGGATGTATTAATATTAAATAAATAAATAAATAAATAGAGGTTGAGTCAGTGATGCAATCGGTTACGCTTGACTCGCGAAAGAAATTCTATCTTCATCATCATCCTGTTCATCAATTATTGTCAGTGGCGGATTTGCCATAAGGCCCAGTAGGCCCGGGCCTAGGGCGGCCAGATACGAAGGGCGGCAATCGTGCCAAAAAAACTCAGTGATGATAACAAGAAATAACTCAAATGCAAAGTATCTCAAAATATTTTAGAGGCTCGCGTACCGTACGTATGATTATAATCTTCCTAAATCACTATTTTTGAGTATTAAAGTATAAATACTTTCGTACATCGTGCTTAAAAAATAGTTCGTACGTTTAGTTTAATATTAGTGATCTAGGAAGAATACCTATCCTATTGTTATTACAAAAACAACTCAGCGGTGTCGCGCGAACATTCTAGAAAGCTCTACACGACGCTCGAATGCGTGCGCGCGCCGCCCCGCAGGAAGGATCTAGAAACGGTGCAAGCGCGACGGAAATACGCGCGACGTGAGAGTGAGCAAGACAGCGCGCGGCATGCATACACGCGCGCGTTCTGGAAACTGCCCGACTATTCTAGTATAACGTTGCACCGGTATATATAAGCTACGGGTTTGGACGGTGGGACAGTTCAGTTTAGTGAGCGATTGAGTGCGATACTGCTTAAGTTGAATATGGACGGAAAGAAAAGGGTAAGGTTAAGTGGGGCAGAGTATCGCAAGAGAGCTAAAGAAAAAGATGATAAACAAAAAGATACGATTAAAAAAACACGGAAATTAGACGATTTCTTTGGAAAACTTGATGTTCCAAGTAGTAGTGGCGCTCCGTCAACTGATGATTCTGCAGTGTCTTCAAGTGAAAATACTTTGATCGATGTGGCAAGCATATCGAAAGAACAAGCCGAAGATGTCCCTCTAGTACCAGGAGTGGCAGGAGTAGGAGTGCAGCCCAATCCTACGGACCAGGAGCTCTACGAAATCAGCGACGATCCAGCTAAATGGACAATCGACGAGTTCACGCGTGATCACATTTGTAAGAACGGAGCCAATCAAAACATCCAAAATGATTTTCCTAAAAGTGAGCGCATTTACAAAGATAAAGCGCGACAGTTGTCGAGACATTTATTCGAACGTCAGCTTCTGAACGGTGAAAAAGTTCCGCGAAAGTGGCTAATTTATTCCAAAAGTACTGGATGTGTTTTTTGTGGTCCTTGTCTGCTTTTTAATAGCGGGGAGAGTCAGTTCGACAAAAAAGAAGGTTTCAATGACTGGAAAAATTCATATCATCGAGTGTCAACTCATGAGAATTCGCCTACTCACAAATTATCTGTTCTGCATATGAAAGAACGAAGCAACGTGCTAGGTCGCATTGACCGCGCATTAACAATGCAATTAGATGAAGAAATAAATTACTGGAGAAACATTCTGAAAAGAGTAGTTGCATGCGTAAAAGCGCTTGCGTCACGTGGTTTGCCTTTCAGAGGACACGAAGAAAAATTTGGATCAATCCACAATGGAAATTATTTGATGTCCTTAGAGCTTATCGCTGAGTTCGATCCGTTCTTAGCCAAACACATTACACGTTATGGAAATCCAGGCTCAGGATTTACGAGTTATCTTTCTTCAACAACATGCGAAGAATTCATTCGACTTATGGGAAACAAAGTTTTGGAAACAATTGTTATGGAAATATCAACCGCAAAATATTTTTCTCTGATTATTGACTCGACACCGGATATATCTCACGTAGACCAGCTCACTTATGTTATCAGATATGTCCTGCCTAATGGGTCACCTGTAGAACGGTTCCTCAAGTTTATTCCAAACACAGGCCACAAATCACAACAAATGGCAGATGCTGTTACCTCAACTTTAACTGAATTGGGAATTGACATTTCAAACTGCCGCGGGCAATCATATGACAATGCAGCTAACATGTCAGGCATATACAACGGCCTGCAAGCTAAAATAAAGGAAATTTAACCCCTTGCCGACTATGTTCCCTGTTCAGCACACTCGCTTAATTTAGTAGGTGAATGTGCTGCTGAAAGCACCCAAGAGGCTTGTTCGTTCTTTTTTCTACTCCAAGAGTTATACAATTTCTTTGCAGCGTCAACTCAGCGTTGGGAACTCCTTCAAACCCATTTCACCGTCAAAAGTCTATCAACGACTCGTTGGTCAGCTCGTGCAGACGCATGCAAAAGTTTACGCGAATCCTGGAATGAAATCCATAAAGCGCTAGTCACCATCGAAAATGACACACAACAGAAGAGAACCGTTATATGCGAAGCAAGAGGTATTCGTTTGAAACTGGAACGTTTTGAAACGGCTCTCATGGCTGTTTTTTGGGGATGTTTACTAGATCGCATTAACGCCACAAGTAAAAAACTTCAGAGTGTGGAAATTGACATTACTATTGTTATAGAACTGTACGAGGCTTTAATACATTTTGTTGGCGAAACAAGAGAGAATTTCGATGAATTCGAAAAAAAAGCGAATAAACTGTCCTTCGTACAGGAATATGAAAAAGATTTTCGACGCAATCGAAAGCGTAAGCTGCTTCCTGGCGAGACTAATACAGGTGAAGAGATGCAACAAAGTGGCCGTGAAAATTTCAGAATACATACTTTTTTGGTAGTAATTGATACATTGTCAGAAGAACTGAAAAGACGCCGGGATGCTTATAAATTACTCTACAATAAATTCCACTTTATTACCAACCTGAAGAATCTAAGCATCTCAGAAGTCGAAGATAAGGCCAAAGCATTGCAAATGATTTATTCTACTGACTTAGATGACAATTTTACAGAAGAATGTCTTCATTTTCGTTCCCACTGCAGCATAAAAAATGAGGAGCAAAAGAGTGCAGTCAGTTTGTTGAAATGGTTACGAACCGAAGGTCTTCAAACCATTTATCCAAACGTGGATATTGGTCTTCGTATGTGTGTGTGTACAGCCGCCAGTAACTGTACAGGAGAAAGATCGTTTTCTTGTTTGCGCAGAGTTAAAAACTATATTTACGCACTACAATGACGGAGCAGAGGCTAAACGATCTTGCTTTGCTTAACATAGAAGCTGATTTTTTAAGGAAATTGGATTGCGAAGATTTAATTAATAATTTTGCTGCGCTTAAGTGCAGACGACGAGTTTTGTAACACATTGTAAAACCTTTATTTTATTAAAAAGGAAACCTAAAACCATTTTAAATGTTTTATTCAAATTTCCAATCATCCCTGGCCTCGGAAAATATTATAAACTAGCTTTATAAGCTAGCTTTTAGTTAACAATTTTCTGAATCAAATAAAAGTGGCAATAAAGTAAATTCATGAATTATGTATCTAGTCTCTAATGATCGGTGCTGAGAAAAGGGCGGCACATGGCCTGGGGCCTAGAGCGGCTAGGACTGCAAATCCGCCACTGATTATTGTCTCTGAAAATATTAAGAAACGTTTCATATGACTCGCACGAGTATCTTCATAATAACTTTCCTTCAGGAACTTCGAATAATAATAATCTGATTCACTATAAAACTGCGCATTCTTCATTATATTTCTATAATAACATTTAATATCTTCCTAACGACGCCAATAGTATTCATGTACGTGAGTTTCAAAATACTTCGAATGTATTCGCTTATACATCAGTGTGTGAAGTGCAGAATATCTCGTATTTTTGTTGATTTGTACTCTAGTAATTGGAGGAGAATCAATTTCTCCTTTCAACTTGAACGCACTGTGTCTCGAAAATGAAGCTCCTTACAAAAGCCTTACTTCTCAAAATAAGGCATTCTACCAATTTTACTGCTGAAAAATGGACCACCCTGTACAATAACCAAAGATCTAAGAATCTATCCCTAACAACACCAGTACATCCTAGGGACTTCCCATGGACGTCCCTGATTTTATACTAGGACATCCCAGGGATGTCCTTTGTCGGGACAACGTACATACTAGGGATGTCCCAGGGACATCCGCTGGCCGCTAAAAAAGGCTTCCAAGGGATGTCCTTCTGGTACGTCCCTGGGATGTACCAAGTACGATGAAGGGATATCCCTGGGACGTCCCAAGGATATCCCAGGGACATCGTTTCGACGAAAGAAAAAAGTTGCAGGTCGGGTAGGGATTGAACCTGGGACCTTTGGCTTATCATGCACGGACCTTGCTCCATTGGCTATCATGCCTCCTGAAGATTTATGTACTAAACAGATTTATAAACAGGACTTAACTACAGAAACCTGAATGAATACAACTTTATTAGGAATTGGGTATAATTATTATCATTCTTGGGTGTTTAAAAATGAGGGGCATTATGCATGTACGATTTCTGTCTGCGAAAAATGGTAATTTCATAAGAAGTTCTGAGACTTTATTCTTCATTTTCATTAAAATCATTTTCCGGAAGAAAAACAAACATTTTCAAAAAATTCAACTCAATAGTTTGATGAAATTCAATGACTCTGATGTGAATGGATATCAGATACTCCAGGGACACGAATAGGATAACCTAGGGATGTACCGGACGGGATGTCCACTGGACAACCACTACAGGACATCCCCTGGATGTCCCAATCATGTCCTTGTACCGCAGGACAAAAAAGGGACATAAAGATTGGATTTTCCCAGTGAGATCACAAATATGCATTTTCAATATTTTGTTGTAACATATCAATTCTGATACAAATAGCAAATAGATTTCAAGATATACATCAGGGACATGAATGGGACAACTCAGGGATGTCCCAGTCGGGACATCCCCTGGAAATACTGAGCACGACATCCTAGGGATGTCCCAATCATGTCCTTGTACCGACAGTACACGTTGGGACATAAAAGGGACGTACCTAGGATGTCCCTGTGTTGTTAGGGATATATGCTCTACTAAGTCCGCCCTCACCTTACCACTTGCATCTCACTGTTATGTTGTCGCCACTTCCTTCCTCTGTTGGCTAGGAATTTGAAATTATTAGATCATTGAGAAAAAACTTTATCAAAAGTATAATCTCAGAACTTTAAGTTTCGTTCTTAGACAGCTTTCAAATTATGTCTCAAGGCTCTCAAGAGGCTTACGTGTAATCTTTGCCCATAATTAACATGTTGACTGCCTCTCAATCTAGGTGGCGTGCACTGGCTACCGCCATTTCGGTCACTGGCACTGCCATAGGCATCATGGCGTTTCCTCTGGTGATGGAACAGCTGCTGGGGAATCTCCATTGGAGGACCAAGTTCCAGATTTTGAGCGCGACCTGTGGCTTACTGGCTGTGCTGGTTTGTAGCTTTCGAATTGTCCACACTCTACATCCATTAGGTATCAGTATACACGGAAACATTTGACTACGAGGTTGGCACGTGACGTGACGCGCCAATCATGTCCTGCGGCTCCAATCATCGAGCCATATAATAATAATAATAATTCGTCGTTATGTCCTCAAAATAGTATTGTATGTGCACCAGTCGAAGTTTAGCTGGGAAGCTATTCTCAAATTTAACCTGTGCTCAACTTATAATCTAATCCTGATACTCCTCCTAAACCTAAACCTAACAACCTGAATCTAGATTGACATCTACATTTTCACTTGTTGTCTCACATGTAAAGTATGATTCAACAAA